CTGCTTCTTCTCATCGAGGCCTGTCCTAAAGTCAGCTAATCTTCTGTTTTCAGAGCTGTTGGGTGTAATGGAAAGCACCATGGCAGCTCCTGTCTTAATTAGAGTAAGACTTGACGGCCCCGCTGTTTTCCAGCCCTTTCTCTCCCACACAAACTCTTTTCAATTACACAAAATAAAGTCAGCTGTCTCGTCTGGAGGCACTGATCCAAATCCGGCAGAGGAACAACCTTGACCAGCCGAGCCCCAAATGTTCCTGACTCACGCATGAGCCTTCAGAGACAACGCTCAGTTTTCAAATTCATTAAGCCTGTGTAGGTGAAGGTTAGGTTATTATGGTTGAGAAATTTGGTTTGGTTTGTTTGACAAGGTTATACTAGTTTGTTGACAAACTTTGATGTTAGCTTGAAACAGCAGCATGATTTAGTATGTTTTTAGCATGTACTAGTAGGCTATTCAGGCATAGTGTTAGGAACATATCTTTATCATGATTTAGCAAGTCCATAGAATGTACCTAATGCGATTTACGTACCAACATTTCACATTGGTAGCATGTTTTTATCTAGCATGATTTAACATGTTGCTTGCACATCCTTAGCATTTTGATAGCATATTTTAACATGAAACGCCATATTGGTAGTGTATTTCTATCATTGATTACCATGTTGCTAGAATGTTTTAACTCAAATTAACATGTTGGTAGCATGTTGCTAATATGAATTATCACATAGGTAACATGTTTCTAGAATGAATTTTTCTATCTAACATGATTTAGCATGTTGCTCGCACACCCTTAGCATTTTGATAACATGTTTCTAAAATGAAATTAACTCAAATTAGCATCTTTGTAGCATATTTTAGACATGTTGTTAATATAAATGATCACATTGGTGGCATGTTTCTAGATTAAATGTTTATATGTAACATGATTTAACATGTTTTTGCACAACCTTAGCATTTTGACATCCTTAACATGAAATATCATACTGGTAGCAGGTTTCTACTATGTTTTAACACAAATTAGCATGTCGGTAGCATGTTTTAAACATGTTGCTAATATAAATTTATCACATTGGTAATATGTTTCTAGCTAACATGATTTACCTTGTTGCTTGTACATCTTTGGCAGTTTGATAGCATGTTTCTAACATCAAATGCTATATTGGTAGCATGTTTCTAAGATCAAGTAGCATGTTGCTAGTATGCTACCATCGTGCAAACACATTTCTATAATGAAGTTGCTATCCTATCTTCATCTAGAATTAGGATGTTTCTAAGAGTAAGTGTTTCTTGCAACAACTAAATACAGAGAATTTTGGAGATAACTAGGGTATATTTAATTACTGTAATACTAACTTCTCGCTAGAAATGCCATCAAAGTTTGAATAATTTGGGTCAAAAATGTACATTTACACACAAAATGACATCCAAGCTGCTCAAAAATGAAGCTAAAAAATTGGAACGTTCAGGAATGTAGGATATCTAAGGCAGCAAAAGACACATCTACAGTATGCTGCCTTCAAAATTAAATGAGAACAAACTACCTTCAGAGACAGAGGAGAAGCAGAATTTTAATTTGGATGTACTTGGAAAACTGCTTCTTACAGCCTTTTAGAGCTTTCGACAAAGCCTTATTCAGAATTCGCATGTTGCTAGTATAGAATTAGCCAAAATGACATAGTGGCTGCATGGAAAACATAATTTTGGTAAGAACCATAGACTGTGGTGGAAATACAACAACAACAAAACATTATATGCCTTCATGCTAGTTCATTAAAGGCCAAAGCGAGGTCTTTCAGAGTTTGTCGTAAGTCTATTACAGCTTCCCTTCGACTGCCTCTTGCACAGTACAATCGCATATTGAAATCATGTTTCATGCTCCGGGTTTCCTCATTTCTCTGGACACGCTTGTCATAAAGGATCCGTAAATTCAGCGTGCTAGAAAATAAGTGATGCAGTGCAGTGTTCGGTGGACAGAGAGGGGAGGATCATTTGCGCTTGAAAGCTTATTACCGGCTCTCAGCATGGTGGATAAAGGGGACACACACCCATCTTCACCCCTCTACTGGCTCGCCGATATGCAGGCCGACGTTTTCAAATGCTTGAGTACACACGCTGATTGAAATTGGGGTTGCGTTGAGCACACAAAGATAAAACCGATTTCGCAAAAAGCCAAGCGTAATCTCACATTTCTGAGATTGCAAGACACTGAACTGGGGGAAAAAGCCCCATTTTAAATGCCAATGTCTGGCTTCAGATGAAAGGATAGAGAGGAAAAAGACAGTAGATGAGATGAAGAATGAAAGAGTGCAGCTTTGTGGTCATGTTGAGTTGTGTATTAGTTCCTCCATGGTTGCACATTTAGCTGAGGTATTTACAGATTGAAGTTTAGACAGAAGAAATGAAAGGATTCATTTCATCCATCTCATTTTTAAAACGGCATTATCCTGAAGCTAAGATCAAAACCAAGATGCAAAATAATGACAATTATGATGAGATATTGGTTTTAAAAAGCCTTTGAAGTTGAAAGAAATAGTTCACTCTAGATTAAGTGAAATTAAATTACTATTTCATTTTCAATACAACGAGAGTGAAAAGAAACAGGCTCTTTCAGATATGTAGAAAAAAGCAAAATGAAAGTCTCATATAAGCAGTTAATTATATTTTAAGACAATATATTAAATTACGGGCGAGACAGTGGCACAGTAGGTAGTGCTGTCACCTCACAGCAAGAAGTTCGCTGGTTCGAACCTCGGCTCAGTTGGCGTTTCTGTGTGGAGTTTGCATGTTCTCCCTGCATTCGCGTGGGTTTCCTCGGGGTGCTCCGGTTTCCCCCACAGTCCAAAGACATGCGGTACAGGTAAATTGGGTAGGCTAAATTGTCCGTAGTGTATAAGTGTGTGTGTGAATGTGTGTGTGGATGATTACCAAAGATGGGTTGCGGCTGGAAGGGCATCCGCTGCGTAAAAACTTGCTGGATAAGTTGGCGGTTCATTCCGCTGTGGCGACCCCGCATTAATAAAGGGACTACGTCGACAAAAAAATGAATGAAAGAATGAATATTAAATTACACTCACCGGCCACTTTATTAGGTACACCTTACTGTACTGGGTTGGACCCCCTTTTGCCTTCAGAACTGCCCTAATCCTTCTTAGTTCTAGATTTAACAAGGTACTGGAAATATTTCTCAAAGATTTTGGTCCATATAGACGTGAAAGCATCACATAGTTGCTGCAGATTTGTCGCCTGCACAATCATGATGCGAATCTCCCATTCTACCATATCCCAAAGGTGCTCTATTGGATTGAGCTCTGGTGACTGTGGAGGCCATTTGAGTACAGCGAACACATTGTCATGTTCAAGAAACCAGTCTGAGATGATTTGCGCTGTATGACATGGTGTGTTTGTTATCCTGCTGGAAGTAGCCATCAGAAGATGGGTATACTGCGGTTATAAAGGGATGGACATGGTCAGCAACACTACTCAGACTGTGGCGTTGACACAAGTCTTAATTGGTACTAACAGACCAAAAGTGTGCTAAGAAAAAATCCCCCACACCATTACACCACCAGTCTGAACTGTTTGTTACAAGACAGGATGCTTTAATGTTGTTGATTGCAAATTCTGACCCTATCATCCGAACGGCAGAAATCGAGACTCATCAGACCAGGCAATGTTTATCCAATCTTCGATTGTCCAATTTTGAATTGAATCAAGAACTGTGGTGTGAATTAAAGATCAGCTATGCTCTCAATGCACTGATGCACATCTGAACAAACATTTCTATTCAGTGACACGGTAATGTTTAAACGAATTAGTTTTTTTTTTTTTAATGGTTTATTGTAACACACAATTTACAGTATATGGACACACCTTGCCTTTTAGAATTTTACAACTTAATCGTTTCCATTTGCTTATATGGACAAGAAAAGTCAGAGCGTTCTGCTTTGTTTTCCATGGATGAACATAGGAAAGTTTTTGAAGAACAGTAAGAAAATAATATTTGTTATGGTGTAGCTAATGTTAAATGAGATACAAAACTTTACAAAAATTAACCATGGCTTTACTGCTACTGCTCATTCATTCGTTTTGTTTTCGGCTTAGTCGCTTTATTAATCAGGGGTCACCACAGTGGAATGAACCACCAACTTATCCAGCATATGTTTTACACAGCAACCTTCTAGCTGCAACCCATCACTGGCAAACATCCATATACACCTATTAACACACTACGGACAATTTAGCTAATACAAACAAACTCACGCAAACACAGGGAGAACATGCAAACTCCACACAGAATTGCCAACTGACCCAGCCGGGGCTCAAACCAGCGACTTTCTTGCTGTGAGGCGATTGATACACAACTACTACAACAAAAATGATTTCTTTTAAACTATTAGAACTTCAATTTAACCAGAGTTTTGCTTCATTTAGGTACTCTATACATACAAAATGCATTTGTATTAAACGGTGGAATTAAAAATATATGGCTACTACACCTAAAAAGTGTTAATAAACCAATAACAGCACTATTATTATAACCAACAAAGATATATGAAACAAAATACAAATTACGAGCAAAAAACAAGGTCTGAGGAACCTACACCCACTTATAATAAACAAAAAACACTATTTTTAAAAACATACTGTGGCATTACATAATTATCTTCAGCCTTCCAGTCAGTCGGTACTGAAATCCACCAGCTGGCCGTGTCTGCCCTCGCATATATTCCTAAATACATGCTTTCGTCAAAAATATAGCGAACTGAAATTTCTAGATGCCACCAGTTCACCTCATATAAACTAACTCGGCGTTCATAGGCTTTAGCATTGAACACAGACGTGTTCAAAGGGAGGACGCGTATAGTGAACCAAATCTGCCTCCCCCCGTGCTGTTTTCCCCTCCCTCAGCCTTTGTCAACTGTGGTTTTGAGGGAAGGGGATGAATATTCGTAGGACTGTCTACGTTTGACTTAATCTGGGACCAACTGGCACACCTCTCTTCAGTCTTCTCCTCACGACAAACCAACGAAATATCTGTCCGGCGTTTCGCGTTTAGTCACAGAGAGATGTCTGAGGATGCGCATCAATACCTTATTCATCCGTTGTCTCTCCGCGGAGCCTGTCTTTGAATGTTTTCCCCGAGCATGAATGGGGCTGCTTGAGGATATACGACCTTTTCTTCGTTTTTTTAGGGAATAAGGAGCCCTTCGACATTTGGAGATATGAATTAAAGCGATAAAGCGTCTATGACGGGCGTTACGGGACGACTACGCGAAGCCATCACGGCATATGGTGATTTTTTTCTCTTTTGTTTAATTTTTCGTCATGTTCTCATACAGCTTTATATGAGGCAAGTATATCGAAGTGTTTATTTTGACGATATTTTCGAGGCAACTGGATTTCGGAAATGTTTCTGCTGGAATAGGGGGAATAAGTTGCTCACTGATTTATACAGTCAGATCGGATCTGCTATTTTTTTATTTTCAACTGAATACCGAGTTGTGTTGCACTGCGGTAAATCAGAACTCGACGCGCGCGGTCGACGACGGCTGCCTTTCAAACATTTCACAATAAGCATGCATATGGTATTGTGAGGGATTGCAATTAAAGCATCTCTCTACAGGTGCCTGAACTGGTGCCAGTTTGTGGAAAAGAAGCGATTTTGAAACCTGCCTGAATTCTAGACGCAGGTTTGCACGAACCTTTGCTGATTTCCCCAAGGGAAAAACAAAATACCTCAGGCTTGTGTAAAAGCCTGTAGGAAGCAGTTTAGTTGTAAGAGTTTGGCTGCATTAAAACGTTAAGTAGTTTATCAAAGTGTCATACTGCAATAAGCGACTGCTTAAGGCTTGCATTGTGAAGCAGAATGTAATGTAATATGTGTTGAAAGGAGATTTGCTTTTCCCAGAATTTAACAAGGAGTCATTCTAGTTTAAATCTTTAAATCCTAAATTTAAAATATGCTTTTTTGTTTCTGGTATTGACTCATTATTATAGCATGTTATATAATGTTATATACAATGCAAATTCATGTTCTGCTTTTTCCTGGTTTTCAAACTCACGCTGAGATCTTTTGTTTTTCAGCTTTGTCTTTGTGGATAGGATCAAATCAGACTGCATCCTCTAAATGAAGTTACCCAGCCATGCAATGTTCCTGGAAGGCTGTGATTCTGCTTGCATTGGTGTCCATAGCGATCCAATACACAGCAATCAGGACTTTCACAGCCAAGCCTTTTCATATTTGCCCTGTTCCTAACCCCCTGAACTGTGGTTTGGGGCAGGATGTGGAGTCGTTCGATCGGATGTGTGATGAGTACCCATATTTTAATTACAATTCCTCAAGGAAGACTCACATCCTCATCTTGGCAACCACTCGCAGCGGCTCCTCTTTCGTTGGACAGTTGTTCAACCAGCACTCAGATGTGTTCTATCTCTTTGAACCACTCTATCATGTCCAAACGACCTTAATCCCTCACCTTTCTCCCAGCAGATACGCTGTGGAGCGCCGAGTGATGCTGGGAGCCAGTCGTGACCTTCTTAGAAGCCTGTACAACTGCGACTTGTATTTCCTAGAGAGTTACATCAAACCGCAGCCGGCAAACCACACCACGGATAAACTGTTTCGACGTGGAGCCAGCAAAGCCCTCTGTTCTATGCCGGTTTGTGATGCTTTCAGCCCCAATGATGGCAATATAGAAGAGGGGGATTGTGTTCGGAAGTGTGCCTCTCTTAATTTGACCCTAGCTACCGAATCATGCCGAGAAAGACGGCATGTGGCCATTAAAACGGTGCGTATCCCGGAGGTCAACGATCTTAAGGCACTGATTGAAGACCCTCGGCTTAATTTGAAGGTTATACAGTTGGTAAGGGACCCACGTGGAATATTATCATCGAGGATTGAAACCTTCCGGGACACTTACCGCCTATGGCGGATCTGGAGAGCCACAGGCCGTAAACCCTACAACCTGGATTTGACCCAGCTCACGACAGTGTGTGACGACTTTCTGAACTCGGTGTCCACAGGTTTAAGCCGGCCACCGTGGCTTCGAGGACGGTACATGCTGGTGAGATACGAGGACCTAGCCAGAAATCCACTCCAAAAAACCAAGGAGGTTTATGAATTCCTTGGACTTTCGCTGGAAAAAAGTGTGGTGGACTGGATACATAACAACACAAGAGGCAATAACGATGTGTCAGCAAAGCATAAGTACGGCACATTGAGGGACTCGGCGGCTAACGCAGAGAGCTGGAGGTTGAAATTGTCTCATGACATAGTTGATTACACACAAACTGTTTGTCAGCACATTTTAGATGAGCTCGGCTACAAAGCTGTCAACTCCCCTGAGGAGCTGAAAAACATGTCCATCTCTCTCATTGAGGACAAAACCTTCATACCTTTTTTGTAACAAAGGTAATCACGTGCACGCACAACTATTTTTCTACATTTATATTCTTGCCTTAATGTGACTGACATTTGCACTATGAACCTTTTTGTAACTTCGGAGACTCCCTCGCAGTCCCCCCTCTATGATATTTCTGAACAGCACAAGAACCAAAACACTTAGCTGTAAAGAGATCTCAACTTCACCTTGATTGCGGCGATTGCATTGAGATAGGCAACGTTCCTTATTTATATATTAGAGCAGAGCACCACACTATTGACAAAGAAATTCTGTATGCTGGTCATTGCTTTGACAACAGTGAATGTGAAAATTTTGTCAGTCAAAGAACCCAGACTATTCTCAAGATAAACACTCTTCAATGTGGGACTGAAAAATGCTGTCATGTATAATTACAGCCGTGCAATAAAATTGTGAATGTCACAGTCAGACTATTTCTCAGGTTGTTTCTCAGTGCAAAGACTTGACTGTCAGAGAGCTTTCTGGGGGTTTATGCTCGTGTTTGATTTGCTTTTAGAATGCATAATGTGCTGGAGCTGTACCTGGGTTAAAAAAAAAAGAAAGAAAGTAAACTCACAGTAAAAGCACTTCAGTGTGCTTGCATTGTTTGGTTTACAAATTAGTTGTAAAAACTCAATGACCACTGTTTCGCCACAATGAAGGTTTCTGTTATATTTTTGCCAAACGCCATGACACTATTTCAGAGAAATCCAATGCAATCAAGTTTTTAAAGTCGACAGTTTGTTAGTTTAGAGGTTTTCATATGAAATGCATGGAATTATTCATCCTTTAGAGGCTGCCCTCATCATCATATAACAATTTTTCATTGATTCAGTGCATAGGGATTTGTATTCAGTGTTCATGGGAAATCGTTCGACTCAATGTATGTGAAAGAGGCTATTTTTTAATAAATGTAGAAAAGCAAATGTATTTTTCACGAGTAGATTTATTCCTGAACCTGAAGGACATTTGCGCACATGACTCTTCCCTGATTGACACAGTGGCCTTAATTTGTTTAATCCTTCATGGATTTTTACATAATCTAGATAATCTGGATTCAGGTTATTAAACCCTAAACATTTTTCACAACTGCTAACCCTCATGGAGAATATTAATGGTTCGATCTTTAACTTCAGATTAGTGTCTGCAGAATTAGAAGCTATGAAATTACACAAGGATTTAATCAGATATACATTATCCACAGTCATGTACTGTACCAACATTGTCCAGTAGTCTTTTCTTTCAGGGGGGAAATGGCCCCCCCTTGTGGTGTGGAAAAACATGTAATCATGTCTACATTAATTAGGATGAACTGTCATTCATGCCACATTTGTGACTGAAAAACTGTACTAATTGCAATTTTTACAGCAAGCAAGGCATGCAATAGTATATACAGTTGACTCATGATGTAGTGGTGCGCGTATAAACATATATAATCACTCTGCTTATGTGTCCACGAGAGATTTTATCTTTAAGGTTTGAAAGATTGCCCAATAAAGCTGTACTTGAGATGGATGAGGGCCTAGTAAATCAGCTGTAATGTTTACAAAGCACTTGAACACTATAATGGTAGTGTGATTATCAATTATGCAAGAGTTTCGTTTGCAAAATTACTGCCCCCAGACTTTAATATCTAGCAATGCCAAAAAGCATAGCCTTAATAGGCATCACATAAAAGTGTTAGTTCATCCCAAAATGAAAATCGTGTCAACATTTACTCACTCTCATGCTATTTCAAACCTATAACAGTTCTCTGAAATACAAATAAAGAGATTTTAATAAAATCTGAGAGATTTACATTCCTTTATTCGACATCTGTTAAATCAAAGTATGCTGTGTATGTTTGATGCTTTAAAACGTACATAAAAATATCTAAATAGAGACACAATTGCGTGACATGACGATCAGATTTAATTTAGGCTTTTGAATTAAATGAATGTTCGATGCATTTACATTGTAAATTGTGTTCAGATTGCAGTTGGTTTCTAAATTTTAAAAATCTCAATGAAATGCTTCATGTAAACGCTGCAGCCAGAATTAAATCAACCAAAACTGATTGAACAAGTCAACTCCTGATTGGATTGAAAAGCAACAGTGGAGATAGACATGACATTATTGCATGAGAAGAAACATGCTGACATTGGTGTTGAATAAAGCCAATAACCCATGAGAAGCTGTGATTCACAGTGAATTTATAACAGCCAAGGGTTGATGTTAGGCAAAACGCAGAGCGGAATGCCTAAAACCCCCTTGGTTGTTATAAATTCACTGTAAACCACAGCTCACATGGATTGTTGCTTTTATAAAACAGTTAATCTATATGCGTAAAATGTTTTTACGAAATAAAAAAAAAGTATTAAAATGTAAAACAAGCAGGGTTCAACACAATTCCTTCATGCTGTCCCAACACAAATAGATGAAGTTAACCATTAAGTTAATAATTTTTACAAATTTAAGTGGATCGAACATAAAACATTTAAGTTGTGTTCCTAAAAAAAAACAAGAATTGTGTTGATTTAGCTCATTTTAAATGAGTAGTTTAAACAAGCAGATAGTTGAATAGTTGCCAAGCTACAGTCACAAGTGTTTGTTTATAGAGTAATTTACAACAGCATTAACGTGGCGCAAGTAAAAAGAACCGTTTTATAAGCATTTTTTAGTCATTATTTGTGTATAAGTGTGTAGGACAAGAAACATCCTAAAAAAAAAAAAGTGCTCATTTTGGATTTCTTTTAGGCATGGAAATTGATTAATATAAGCATAAATTATGATCATATTAAGATTTGTGTGCTTGAGGCTGATTTTATAATTCTGTGTCAAGTAATCACCATGAACCATGGCGCATGCCTTGCATGTACTCATATTTATACTTATGCGTGTTGTGTTGCTCTGCAATAACACTTCCGAAATGATAGCAGGAAGACTTTTATGTTCCTATGTGTCGAGTTTCTTTGCGGGTGTTTTTGTTTTTTCTGAATGCTACCTTAATTTTTTTTTCAGCAGCTGGGGTGCCAGCTGTTAAATTACAGAAATTTACCATGAAATAATGGACGTTAAATTACATAAATTTACTACAAAATAATGGACGTTAAATTAAAGAAATGAACCATAAAATAATGGACGTTAAATTACTGAAATTTACCATAAAATAATGGACGTTAAATTACAGAAATTTACCATAAAATAATGGACGTTAAATTACTGAAATTTACCATAAAATAATGTACGTTAAATTACAGAAATTTACCATAAAATAATGGACGTTAAATTACAGAAATTTACCATAAAATAATTGGCGTTAAATTACAGAAATTTACGATAAAATAATGGCCGTTAAATTACAGAAATTTACGATAAAATAATTGGCGTTAAATTACAGAAATTTACCATAAAATAATGGACGTTAAATTACAGAAATTTACCATAAAATAATGGCCGTTAAATTACTGAAATTTACTATAAAATAATGGCCGTTAAATTACAGAAATTTACCATAAAATAATGCCCGTTAAATTACAGAAATTTACCATAAAATAATGGACGTTAAATTACAGAAATTTACCATAAAATAATGGCCGTTAAATTACAGAAATTTACCATAAAATAATGGATGTTAAATTACAGAAATTTATTATAAAATAACGGCCATCAAATGACAGAAATTTACCATAAAACAATGGCCGTCAAATGACTAAAATTTACCATAAAATAACGTCCGTTAAATTACTAAAATGTACCATAAAATAATGGCCATTAAATGACTAAAATTTACCATGAAAAATGGACGTTAAATTACAGAAATTTACCATAAAATAAAGGCTTTCAAATTTACCATAAAATAATGGTCGTTAAAAGACAAAAATTTACCATAAAATAACGTCCGTTAAATGACTAAAATTTACCATAAAATAACGGCCGTTACATGACAGAAATTTACCATAAAATAACGGCCATCAAATGACAGAAATTTACCATAAAATAACAGCCGTTAAAAGACAAAAAATTACTATGAAATAACGGATGTTACGTTTAATTACAGAAATTTACCATGAAATAACAGATGTTAAATGACAGAAATTTACCATAAAATAACGGTCGTTAAATGACTAAAATTTACCATAAAATAACGGATGTTAAATTACAGAAATTTACCATAAAATAACGGATGTTAAAATACAGAAATTCACCATAAAAAAACAGACGTTAAATGACAGAAATTTACCATAAAATAACGGTTGTTAAATGACTAAAATTTACCATAAAATAACGACCGTAAATTACTAAAATTTACCATAAAATAACAGATGTTAAATTACAGAAATTTATCATAAAATAACGGATGTTACGTTTAATTACAGAAATTTACCATGAAATAACAGATGTTAAATGACAAAAATTTACCATAAAATAACGGTCGTTAAATGACAAAAATTTACCATAAAATAACAGATGTTAAATTACAGAAATTTACCATTAAATAACACCCGTTAAATGACTAAAATTTACCATAAAATAACGGATGTTAAATTACAGAAATTTACCATAAAATAACGGATGTTAAAATACAGAAATTTACCATAAAATAACAGACGTTAAATGACTAAAATTTACCATAAAATAACGTCCGTTAAATTACTAAAATGTACCATAAAATAATGGCCATTAAATGACTAAAATTTACCATGAAAAATGGACGTTAAATTACAGAAATTTACCATAAAATAAAGGCTTTCAAATGACAGAAATTTACCATAAAATAATGGCCGTTAAAAGACAAAAATTTACCATAAAATAACGTCCGTTAAATGACTAAAATTTTCCATAAAATAACGGCCGTTACATGACAGAAATTTACCATAAAATAACGGCCATCAAATGACAGAAATTTACCATAAAATAACAGCCGTTAAAAGACAAAAAATTACTATGAAATAACGGATGTTACGTTTAATTACAGAAATTTACCATGAAATAAAAGATGTTAAATGACAGAAATTTACCATAAAATAACGGTCGTTAAATAACAAAAATTTACCATAAAATAACAGATGTTAAATTACAGAAATTTACCATTAAATAACACCCGTTAAATGACTAAAATTTACCATAAAATAACGGATGTTAAATTACAGAAATTTACCATAAAATAACGGATGTTAAAATACAGAAATTTACCATAAAATAACGGTTGTTAAATGACTAAAATTTACCATAAAATAACGACCGTAAATTACTAAAATTTACCATAAAATAACAGATGTTAAATTACAGAAATTTATCATAAAATAACGGATGTTACGTTTAATTACAGAAATTTACCATAAAATAACGGTCGTTAAATGACAAAAATTTACCATAAAATAACAGATGTTAAATTACAGAAATTTACCATTAAATAACACCCGTTAAATGACTAAAATTTACCATAAAATAACGGATGTTAAATTACAGAAATTTACCATAAAATAACGGATGTTAAAATACAGAAATTTACCATAAAATAACAGACGTTAAATGACAGAAATTTACCATAAAATAACGGTTGTTAAATGACTAAAATTTACCATAAAATAACGACTGTAAATTACTAAAATTTACCATAAAATAACAGATGTTAAATTACAGAAATTTATCATAAAATAACACCCGTTAAATGACTAAAATTTACCATAAAATAACGCCAATTAAATGACTAAAATTTACTATACAGTAAAATAACGGATGTTAAATTACAGAAATTTACCACAAAATAACGGATGTCAAATGACAGCTGTTGTTTTACGGTAAATTTCTGTCATTTAATTGCCGTTATTTTACGTTTTTCTTTTCGGCACCCCAGCTTTTGGAAAAAAATGAAAATAACAGATTTTTTTGTTCAGTGTAGCTAAAACTTGACTCATTCGAAGGCAGGAACCTGCGGATGTCA